TCTCCAACAGCAACCTGTTTTCAGTTATAATGCAACGTTCTTCATTCTGTCTTTCTTTCATAAGTAGAGGGCACATTTTTTTACTTGGCCTTATTATGGACAGAGTATGGGAGACAATGTCTTAGGAATTGAAAAACCTTATAGAACAGCCAAGAAGAGACTGTTCTTCCTCATCTCAGTATTTATCATATTACAATATTATACATCTCCCCACTCTCCTCTTCAATGAACTTTAGCAGCCAGCCCAAGGAAAACAAAGAGGGACAGATGAAAAAGAAACATTATTTTCGGAATTAAAATATCACCAGAGATAAAGTTCTGGCTCACCCTTAAACTCAGTAGGACAGTTTCCGCAACAGTCTCTGGGCATTTACAGTTTTATCTGTGGAAGTGTTTGACCTGGGTGATCCAAGCTTCCCAAGGGGCAGTGCACCAAAACACATAAACAATAAAGAAAAAGATAGATGAATAAAAGCCCTTGCAATTCACTGCGCACGAAGTCTATGAAGTCCAATAAAACTGCATTTGCTTGTTCATATACTGCAGTTAATAACATGAGGGTTCCAGTTACAGGCTACAGCAACCACAAATGTGATTAATGCTGATTGCTCTTTTTACATGTCTGCCGTTAATTGGATTAGAAATGTAGCAGAGTGTGTTCGGGGCGCAGATTGGTTTGCCATCAACAAGTCACGGGGTGTCGGGTTGCTAGGGGGTAATAATAACGCGTCTCGCCTAGGTGACGCCGAGGGGTCAAGTAAAGTTTAACTACCATCCGAATTGTGTGCCATTCAGTATCGAATGCAAACCTAATTGGATGATTGAATTTGTTTAATACCGTATCTGTTGCTGGAAATTAAGGCCGGTCATCAATAGGCTAGCAATGGGGGAATGTACGCAGCTGTAGATACAGTCGAGACAAATTGCTCAGCTTGTAACAGAGGCTAGTGATGCTGATACATATTATTTCAGCTGTTTGTGTTCATGTGTTTTGTCAGGACAGACGTGTCCCTTCTGGGTTTTGGTGGGCTTAATTTTGAATCTGCTAATGGCTCCTGTTTGAGTGAGGAACGGTTAGAGGTGTTTTTTTTTGTCCGTTCTGTATGTAAATACCCCATTTTGTAGGCACTTGGGTGCTATGGATTATTTTTGGTTATTGTTCTCCCTGACTTGAACACCTCATTTGCTTAATTAATTAGAGCCATTAAACACGGTTTTGGATATCTGGATACTGCTGTGGCTTTCAAGGGCTCAGGTCGAAGGAATGCTGCTCTGAAGAGAAAACTGTCACCTAGCCGATAAAACGTTTGAGGTGGTTTCATTAAAGACCTGCCATTGTTCACAGCTGTTTTCCATGACTTCAAATATGTAAAATGTGGCAAATGTAGTTCTAGAGGAGGTGTGAAAAGTTGTTATACTTGAAACAGCACAAAAAATTGGACATCTTGGTTCCCAGTTACAGCAAAAGGAACTATAGGCATTGCCTTTATTAATTTTAGGTTTTGTTGGTTTACTGTAGTTCAGGCAAGAGCTACTTGCTACCGAGCTGTGTGTTTATTTTTGTCCGCTTGGGTAATTATTGGTATTTACATAGTTCTTTTCAAAGGTTTGTTTGCAAAACATTGTTTCTCAAGCAATAGGTAAATTGAATTAAAAAAATTGAGGTTGGAAAAAGTATTGTAGATTTTAGGATGTGTGGCTCATTGCTAAGGGAGATTAGAAGAAGGCTGGAAGAGAAGAGGAGGTAGATTAAGAACAAAAGATGGAGGGCAGGAGAAGAATAGCATTAAGGAGCATCATGATGGGGTGGTGTGGATGCTCTCTGGCTAAGGATCTGCGCCTGTGGCTGTAAGATTGTCGGTTCGTATCCCGCGGCCAGCAGAGGAATTGGCTCAGGCTCCATTGGGCCCCTGAGCAAGGCCCTTAAACCCAAGAGCTCAAGGGATGCTGTATAAATGGCTGACCCTGCCCTCTGACCCCAAGCTTCTCTCTGTGTCTGTGTGTCTCATGGAGCAGGTTGGGAAATGCAAAAAAGAGAACCTCCTCATAAAAGAAATTGTATATGGCCAATAAAGTGATTTTATCTGTAAACAGGCGCCGTCCTTCGGATGAGACGTAAAACCGAGGTCCTGACTCTCTGTGGTCATTAAAAATCCCAGGGCGTTTCTCAAAAAGAGTAGGGGTGTAACCCCGGTGTCCTAGCCAAATTTCCCCATTGGCCCTTACCAATCATGGCCTCCTAATAATCCCTCTCTTTGAATTGGCTACATTACTCTGCTCTTCTCCCCACTGATAGCTGATGTGTGGTGAGCGTTCTGGCACACTATGGCTGCCGTCGCATCATCCAGGTGGATGCTGCACATTGGTGGTGGTGGAGGGGATCCCCATTACCTGTAAAGCACTTTGAGTGGAGTGTCCAGAAAAGCGCTATATAAGTATGAGAAATTATTATTATTATTATTATTATTATTAATTATCTTTTCTTATGTTGTAACCCTGATAATGTAAGAAGAAAAAAAATTCAATGGCTCTCCTGAGTGGCACAACCAGTAAATGCTGAAAGGGCCCAGTATTACAGTCCCCATGAGTTTGTGCGTGATGTTGTTATCTGAAAGTGACTGGGACTTCTCAATGGACAGTCATCCAAGTGCAGTTAGATACCTGTGAACTTGAATCGTCCATCTTATCCTCAGCTGTGTGCATGACTGCCACCACCAGAGGGCACTGTTCTTATCTGTGGCATCTGTGAGTGTGTGGTGCTATCTGTGAGAAATGTTATGCAAACCCTACTATGGTCATATGTTGATCATTGTAATCATAGACTAGCACAAGCCTGTAGAAAGATATAAATGGTGGTCCTGGTGGAAAACTTATTCTCTTTAAAGTAGTGTCCTTCATATGAGCTTCATTGGGCATGCAGGCAACGAGAGCACTTGCGTGACATGTCACTGGATTACATAATGAAATGGCTTTGTTCTAATTTCAACATAGTGTTTGGAAAATGGATTCTTTTCATTTTTTTTCCTTGTGTCCATCCAGATTTTCTTGCAGTCTTGTTCTCAGTTCAGTTCAGCTTGTCCTTTTTATCTTTCAAAATAAAGGGGCAGGCACTGAAGCTGTCATCTCCAGAGAATTGTCGCTGCCTTTTTCATGTTAGGTCCAACTGTACATCTGAAGGTTTCTATTCATTTATTGTTTCTTATCAGAATCACTAAGTGTAAGTGTGTTGCAGTCTTGTGTATTTATTCAGACATACCGTCGCTACAGAAATCCTTCCGCTTCTCTTGCACCCTTGTGCTGGATACAATCCAGTAACTTACAGTCCTAAACTGGCACATTGCTGTTTGAGCTGTTTCTTTTCTCTTTTTGTTTCTAGTCCCAGCTGTGTAGTCCTGTTTGTGACATTATCAGGCTTTGAAGAAAAAGCAGAGCTCTATCTGTTGAGCTACAAAAAAGCAAGAAATAAATTGCTTAAAATACACTTCTAACATTGTATCAAGTATAAAGTACTGCCAAGAAACAAAACATTCCCAGTATGCATTGCAGTTGGGAACGCTTGTGATAATACCTCTCTGAACCTGTATAATTTATGGTTGATAATATTATTATATTTAAGTTGCTTTCCTCCTCTGGAAGGAGGTGTCTACCTTAATATTCATCATAAAACAGAACTTTGTGTTCTGTTAAACTGCTGCTATTAAAAATGTAACAGAAAATGCTGGTCAACCAGACTGTGGCGTTTTATTCAATTTTCTGCATTGTGAACATTTAGGGGTGTCAGAAGAGAGAGACATAAAGGAAGGAAAGACAAAAGCTGTCAGCTGTCAGAAACTGTTGTGTCTGAAGCAGATCTTCCACGTAAGACACATATGCAGGCAAAGTACAACGCAGCTCAAAGACCAATGGACCCTCAGCAGCATTGATGTTGCTGCATGTAGTTGTTGTTTAAAACCGTGTTTGGTTCAGAAGAAGAGGGGTAAAACATGATTCAGAGTCAGTTGGCATATACCTTGGAACAGTTCAGCCTCAGAGTGGGGGGTGGGGGGGGCACAAAACAAGGATTATTGTCTCTGGAAATTGCCAGAACTGTCTGAAAAGCAAGTTCCTGAGGCTTTGCCGTTTCACCTTGTTCTCTCTTGTGATAATACTAGCTTTTTGAGGCAGAGGATCTGTGGGTATAATGGACAGAGAAATAGAAGGGTCACATTGGCTTATCTAGAAGATACAGTACATGACTTGTATACATTAGTCCTGAATTACCATTAACATTTAAACTCCCTCTCTTGGTTTCTGGCCTAATGATATTTATTTACCAGGTCATAAGTCATTTCGGAACTTGAAGCTGGATGCTTAAAAATTCACTGAACAATTCAAGAATATAGCAGGATGGGAAGCCAGGGTATTGGAACAAGAACAATATTAAATCAACTTGCAAAATGTCAAAATTCTTTAATATTTCAGGGTGTTGTGTTGTTTTAGCCATTGGTATTTATAGAAAACAGGATAGAAGATGACTTTGCTGGTTTTTGTGTAGCATAAACAAATCTATTACCCCAAACCAAATCAGTTGGAACATTTGTTTCTTTGTTAAAACAGAAGCAGCTTTTGAGCATGTTTTTTAGGTCCCAGTCAGGCATTGCTTATGTGAGGCTTATAATATCTTTATTTATAGAGTATACACTACTCATTGGAATAGCATGTCTTTTTTGCAACTGCAGGAAGGTATTGCCATGTAACTGTTTCAACAAACGAAGGGTGAGCAGTGGTATAGTGGGATACATTTCACCTTAGGCACCTTTCCTGCCTTTTTTCTGTGCTTGTTGATAGCCGACTGATCAGACAACTGGGGACATAAATGGTCTGAGAGAGCAGAAGAGGAAAAGCTTCCTGTTCAAAAGAAAGGAATTGCTTAGGGACTGAAGCTAAGGCAGCACGCGGCCTGTTGTCACATTCAGCAGCGACGCGTGTTACAAGGTCTCTCTCTCTTTGTCTCCGTGCAGCTCCAGACCGGGCCGACCTCCGAAACGCTCCCTGGGCGTGGCCATGCAGGAGAACTCCCGCCTGCTGCCCCACAGCGTGCACGGTCTCTTATCACCGAGCCTCATCTCCCCGTCAGGTAATGAAATCTCTCACATCATCAGTGCTCGCTTTGTCGCGTGCTCGGCTTGGAATGAACTAATATTGATTCAGCTGACTTGTCCTTCAGAGTCTGTCTCTGTGCCACACCAGAGGTTACAATATTGGATTTTCATTTTTTTTTGGTTTATGTGCTTATATACATTACGATATATTTATATAAACACAATAACATTCAATCTGTTTAACCACTCCTAATAGATAACATACATAAGGTGTATATTGTATTCACATGGACACATATGTAATTTAATTGCCTTGAAAATATCACATTTAAACTGTTAGGCTCGTCCTGGCGGGCTAGCATTGGCATGGCAACCAGCCCCTGCTCCACCCACCTGTCACTCAGCACTGGTTGCCATGGCAACCATCTGACAGGAGACCTGGATCACCTGGAGGCAGTTACCATCTCACCTGTCTGGGTGATTCAGGGCTGCGCACACTCTGCCTAGGGCTCTATTACAGAGTTTAGACCCTGAGTCTCTGTATCCCCAAGCTCGTTCTTTAGCTTTGTCTCCCATGCTTTGCCTTGGATTCCTGACCTTGTTTTGTTCTCTTAACTGTGATTCCTGGATCTCCCCCTGGCTTTGTTTACATCTCCCCATGTGTGACCTGGATGTGCAGTGCTATGATTTCATATTTGCCTGACCTTCCCACCCGATTTGACCCCGATGCTTTTGCTTGTTGCCACCACAGCCAACTACCCTCCTGGCTACACCTCCACCTTGCCTGCGGCTGGAGTATCATCCCTCTGCCTGGGTATCATCCCACTACTGCCACTGTCAGTACCCTGCCTGCAGTTCCCCTGGGTTTTATCCAGCCCAGTTTCTCCCATAGAGCTCCTGACCCACTGCTAGTCCCATGAATAGCTGGATCGTTACATAAATCTGTTAAATATATATGGCTTTGAGAAATTTTCCAACTTTCCATGAAGTTTTCTTGCATGAAGTAAAAGGGAGTTTTGATCTTTCATTTCCCAGTTGAACATGTAGCATTATTACATCAAATATTCTAAAAATGCCAGGGAATTTGCTTTGGCTTTAGTTTTTCTTGATTTTCACAAAGTCTGCTGATTTTCTAAATTTGGTATAGAATTGCGTGAGAAGATACTGATTTTGTTTTCATCTGCACTCCTTACTTTCGAAGGAAACATTTGTATTACTAATTAATCACGGGATGGCAGGTGATTTTTCGTTAAGACTAATCTGTCCTTCCTGTCATTCTGTCTGGTCTTCTGCTCCTATCTGTCTCTGCAACAGCTTAATTTTATGGTTGTTTTTTCAACATTCTAAATTGGGAAGCTGAGAAGAAGTGGCTTTGCAACAACATCCAGAATTCTCTCCTGGTGGAACAATGTCCTCAGGTCAGCAGCGTGTTCATTTAGCTGGGAATTTCCATAAGATCCTTATCAAGAAATTCACACTTTACCATTAAATAATGCGTTTTTAATTTCCAGTCTTTTAACTATAAAAACTTCAGCGGGACTAGAAATATACATGTTGACATGAGTAAAAGTTACAAATTGTAGAATTTTCAACATACTGTAGCTATGTATTCAGATTGTTCATAACTTAATGTAGTTCATGCAAATATCTTTTTGTTCCCTTTAAAAATAAATTGTTAGAAATCATCTGTAGTACTTCATTTTAGGATTTAGTTTGATTTTCATTCATTTAAATTTTATTTTCAATGTTTTGGTATGTAAATCCTAGTCTCCTTGTTTGGATCACCTGTGCACTGGTCTTCTGTTCCATAACAGAGCTGAATGTATGTTCTTCAGGATACATGTGTCCAGTGTGTTTTTCCATGTTATGCCTGTTGACATTGACAGTCAATAGGATCATATGCAAATGATACTGTTGCCTTCACAGGTCATGTGTTGTGTGAGTGTGTCTACTGTATGTGCAGCTGGTGGTTATATGAGAACTGCATGATTAAAGTTTTTTGGGTCCCAGACTGGTGAATGATTTTAAGCAGGAATCTTTATAGGCCAAATGATTCACCTTATACTGTAACTCCACTGACAATTGGGAAAAATGGTCCGCTTCTACTGGGAGTCCCGGGCTCCAAATGAGCAGGTCAGCATCTTTTGGTAACCTGGCTGGCCAGGTGAATTAAGAATGAACCCGGAGCACTTCCTTGATGTGCACTCTTTATGTGCCTTTTACTGATCCCACGACAGTACAGCCATGAAACTTTTTCATAACAATTCTGCTTTTGCTAGTTTGAAATTCTTGTTATTATTTTGCAGTTAAAAATTATACATGCTAAGAATCCAATTGTCAAATTCACCTCAAATAACCAGTAGCCTTTGTTATTGGCGTAAAATTGACTTCTTCAAGTAGTATGTATGAAGTTAGATAAGCGTAGTAACAGGATGTGTTATTTATTTATCATTTTAGCAAACTGAAAACAAATGTTTGTATGTGATGATGACTGCATTTAAAGCACATGTGGCTCAGTTATAATCCAGGAAGGCTGTAAAGGTGAAGAATGGAAGGAGCAATGCACAGTTGTGAGGTCAGCTCTATTTGTGACAGGCTGGCAGTTCCAGGGGTACTGGAGAGTTAAACAAGGGTGAAGGAGAGGGTGATGAACGGGTGGAGAGTCTTGGAGAGTGTGGACAAAACAGAGCAGGACTGTGGGCTGGGAAGGAATGGGTTGGTAATGAGTACCTGTCGTCAATAAAAACAGAGAAGCACAGCTGGAGAGCATTGAATCAGCTGATCCATTAGAAAGCTTAGAAAGAGGACTGGTTATGATGGACATGTTCGATCTGCCTAAATGAGGAAGATGGAAGGGTAGGACAGGCTTTTTTCTTATTTGAGTCGTCACTGAAGTAGCGCGTGATACTTTCCCTGAGCTGAAACAGAATGATTAGGAGTACATTTCTAAAATAAGGAGTTTGAGGCATGGGGTGACAAGAGGACGTGAATCTTTGTATATAAGAGCTAATTATTTCTTGACATTCATTTTTTTATTTCTGTATAGTAAAGGGATTACATCAACTACTGTTGCTTTCCATGAGTTTTTCTTTCCATCATTTCTTTTCAGAATCACTGTAGCTATATTCTTATCCAGGCCAAAAGCTTTCATCTTTGTCCTGCAGTTAGCCCTTCCCTATTTATTTAAAGACACAAATCTGAAGTTCCTATGGAGAAGGATGCTTTTGCTAAAGAGAAATGTTCATACTTGTTTGAAGGATTTGAATGACTTTATATACTTAGGATAGCAATAATTGTGCCTGCAAGATCATCTTCAAAGCACAACATAATTAATCTAATTTATTTTGTTGCTATGTAGTTTTAAATACATTAATTCATCCAAGAGTGTATCTTGTTCTCTGCATTTTCTTTATTCTATAGGAAAGCTTTTAGAGTCCCATACTAAACCAATAATGCATTTTTAAGCATTATGACATTTTTGGCTCATTAGAAGACAGCATAAGAACCATTTCCATCTTCATTTCCATATTTTTAATTCTATGAAAAATAAGCTTTTTTTATTGTGGCTTGTATTTCTACATATTGTTGTGTATACTCCAATACAATATAATGGGGACTCTGTAGCCAAAATAGAAACTGCAATGCTTAGTCTTCACTGAACCTAAAAAAGAAGTCCTGTTCTCCAAAGTATTTTTCAGTTGCATTGACAGAAATGTTGTATCTCACTGCAGAGAGAAACCAATAACGTGTCTGTAGGGGAATTCTGTTTATACTTTTAGGCCTGTAAAACATGATTCTTCACTTGTTGTAGAGCTGTTGTGGGAGAGAGAGCAGTACTGTAAAACTGAATCAATTTAGGTCAAAGAGATGCACTGCTGTGAAATAGTGGAACTCTTTCTCTAACTGAAGTGCAACAGCTCTTACTATTGTTGCAGGAGACTAGGAGTCCCTATTGTTAGTACTCTTTCTCTGCCCTAATGATAGTCACATAGAGTAAAGCATTGCAGAAACTAATAATTGGCTCATTATTAGTTTTGGGCAACCTGTGTGCCTTGGAAATGCAGAGTGTGGCCCCAAGATATTGCTTACACTCTACTCAAAGAGCCCCCTACCGTTCCCACTATCACTTCTTCCAGCAGCAACCTTAGCTTTCCCAGGAGGTCCCCCATCCAGGTACTGACCAGGCTCACACCTGGTTAGGTTCAGTGGACTGCCAGTTGTGAGTTTCAGGGTGATATTGCTCCTGGCTATATATTCCCAGAAAACAATAAACTATCCATTTTAATGAGGCACTGTCAAAACTGTTTACCCATAGAATGCTACTTATATTCATTAAGAATGTTAATTGTTTTTTGCAAATTATTGTACAGTACATTGTTTAGTTGGGACTGTGCTGTGATCCAGCCCTCAAGGCTGCCTCAACACATTATACATTGCCCACTCTGTGTGACTTTCTCCAGAATTACTTTTGTTTTCATTTCGGCAGACAAAAAGTAGAGGAAGTGACTCCTATTTAGATCCTGGAAAGCTGAGGTCTTAACTACCTGAACCCACAAATAATATGAGTTCAGGATTGCCTGTTGATTTAATTCTGTAGCCTAGTCGCAGGAATCTATGCTAGGGTGGGACATTGAAGTACTAAATCACTTAAATGTGTTTGGTCATCAGACAGGGCCCCGACATCACCATCCTCATTGTTCACTGTGATAGTGTTGGCCTTGGAGCATCAGTTCAACAATTTCTGCAAACTATAAAAGTATATAATTGCCCAGTAGACTTACCTCAGTAGGCACATGTTTAAATAAGTGCATGAATCTGAAAACTAGCTTTTCTATGAAGAATAGACGGTGGTGAAAGGTTCTCCATAGACAAATGGCCCTGTGAAAGTCTTGTGTATATTTTCATTTTCCTTTACGGACTTTAATGCTTCATGTTTTTTCCAGTCTGTTGACAAGTGGAGCAATAAATGTTAATTTTTCAAGATCAGTTTGAATCCACCGCTGTGAATTAAACACAACTAAGTGGGGAAAAAAAT